AAAAACGTTTAATTTTTTTAAATTTTCCTGTCGGCGAAATAAGTCAAAAGTCATTTTTTTTTATTTTTCACACTCAAATAAATTCATAATTTTTTTTTTTTTTTATTAATAACAATAATTGATTTTATTTATTTATTTATACAAAGTGTTTCACGTGTTTATTTATTTATGTATAAGTAATAATAATAATAATAATGGGACGGGCTACAATTATGCGCGTATATTTATATATATACATATTATTTTATCTACATCAGTTCACTGTCGCTAATAATTTTATTAATTTAAAAATTGTTATTATTATTATTATTATCATCATTATTATTATTTTTAATAATATCTATGTATATATGTATATATCAACTTTGTAAAAAAATATTTTCCATTTCATATCTAAACGATTAAAAATGCGGCGTTAAAAAACAAAAGAAAAAAAAAAAAGAAAATTTATTATCGCTTGAATTTTAAATTTGTTTGAAAATTTTTCAAATTCTTAAATTATTTTCCACCCCCCATTTCCCCCCTTTTCCCCCGCGTTTTTCTAAGCAAAATTAAAGGGATTTTTTTTACTACTTCCGGAAAAATGAGAAAATTAAAATAATAAAAACAAGAAACGATTTTATTAAAAAAAAATAATAATAATAATTTGCAAATTTTAAATTTAAAAAAAACCGGTTTAAAATCGTTGAAGTGATAATCAAATTATAAAAATCGTATCGATAATTCGATATATCGATAATATCGCGATAAAAGCGAATAAAAATAATCGAAAAATAATCAAAAAATAATCGAAAAAAAAAAAAAATTAAAAATTATTCAATTAACTCATTTTATATTATTATTATTTTTAAATAAAACATTTTGTGGCACAAGTTTTTTTTTTCTTTATTAATTAATTAATTATAATTAAATTATTAAACTTAAAAAATAATAATAGTAATGATAATAATAATAATAATAATAATAACAATTTTTAAGTACATCGATTTATTTTTTTTTTTTGGGTTTTTTTTTTTTTTAAATAAATTTTTTCTTCATATATGTTTTTTTTTTTTTTTTTTTTAAACTACAATTCAATAAAAAAAAGAAATTGTATACAAAAAATAAAAATAAAAATAAAACAATGGAGACGTAATAATAATAATAATAATAATAATAATAATAAAAGTAATTTTTTACATTATAGCCGGCTCTACAGAAAACTACAATATATTCAACTATCTATAACTATTATTATTATTATTATTATTTTTATTATTATTATTATTATTATTATTATCATCATCATCATCATGACCAGCTATTATTAATTATCTACAAAATTTAATTAATTTCTTTCATTCATTTCTTTTTTTTTTATTAATTATATATCAATATGATTTTTCCCGTACTGAACAATGATAATAATAATAATAATAAATAATATTATTATACACAGGGAATACTTGTATAGCTCAAAAAGCTACGTACGTATTTAATTATTTATTATTATTATTATCATAGTTTAAAAAAAAAGAAAAAGTAAATGGCAAATTAATGAGCTTCCGGTTTAAATCATACAAATTTTTTTTTTAATAATAATAATAATAAAAAGTAAAGTTTTTTTTTTCATTTCATATATATCATATGTATATATTTACAATAATAATATTTACAATTATAATAACGGAAAATTTTATGTATATATTTATTTATTTATTTTTTCATTTATTTAATTTTATTATTATTATTATTTATTAATATTTATTTATTAAAAATGCGAGACCAAAAAAAAAAAAAAACTTTATTCTCTGTATTATTTATTTATTTATTTATTTAACCAATTAGGCAACAACA